CTGCAAGCTATTGCCCCGAACCAGTCCGTCTTCTCGCTGCAAGCAGGAGGAAATTCTTTGTCACAAAATTTGGCATTTTTTATAAAATCAAACGCGCTTCGTGGAAACTCACAAGATGTAAATAGCATGTCTTTTGCTTTTGACCCGTACTGGTCAATTTTCGTTAGCTGCGTATACCAAGGGTGCTTAATATGTTTGAGTGATTTGTTGGATTAAGGTGAAGTCATGTGAAGCATAGTTCAGTAAAGCCATCAACAATTTCTGCTGAAGGAGAAACCTACCCCCTCCTCCTATTTGCCTAGCCTCAACTAGATATGACCCAGCTCCATATATACATGTACATGTCGTTTCTCAATGTCATGATGTCAAGAGATTGTATGTGTCACATCATATTAGCTAACCTTTCTCTAACAGGTTTAAACAACACGCTGGAAGGCAACATTGGGGACTTTGGGGATCGATACTGAGACGATGGTAATTGAATTGATATTATTTTATTTTTGGGTGAAAGATTTGGGTTGAAGCTTCAATTTTGAAATCAAAGCGACATCACTATTAGAACAGATGCTTTATTGCAGAATGTGTAAATGCCGTCCAAACTCTATTTACTTTGAAATTGGAAATGTAACGCATAAGCTAAACATTTTATTTATTCATCTTAGCCTAATTATGATACGACTTGATTCAAAAGGTTTATAGGATCGATCGGGATTAATCCTTTGGCTATGTGTCACCTTGACTCGGATGGTTTGATATTATGCGAGGACAAACAATATAAGATGAGGGTTGTGTGACAGAATGTCGCATACTCTTTGTCCTCTAAAAATGATTTGATCAATAGTCCTATATCCTCAAGAATTTCATCGATAATCCGTTATACTTAGTGCATTAGTATGCCCACCACATCCTGTAATCAAAATACCAGCAGCCATGGCATGGACGAATAAGAAAAGTGCTACCTAATTCTCCTAGCATATGCAAATATGAAACAAAACCATGCACCTTGTAGTAAGCTATTCTATTTCAATTTAACCTGCATGGACACTCATTGTCTGAACGTTTGACATATGAGTAATAGTATAGTTTCCATATAGCTTTTGAAATCTCGCTAAATCTCGTTTTTCGTGAGGTTTTAAGAGATTTGCATATTAAACCTCTAATAACTAACATTACCTTCTTTTAAATGGCATATTTGAATTCAGTGAAATGTTTTCTCCTATAATAGCTTTGATTTACACAGTTATGTAATTTGAATAATTTTCTATGACAATTAAAAAAAACTTGGGCCAAATGTCCATAGATGCAATGCTAAAATTCTTTAAAACCTTGGATTATTTGTATGTCAACCAACATTTGCATGTTTAATCACAACATGTACATAAATAGGGTCATCATGTGGTATATCATTCAAATTTTATACAGATTCAACTAACACTCTTTGATAAATCATGAAATTAAGCCATTTTCCAAGATTTTAGCATGTAAGTGAATAGAACTCTAGCCCGAGTTTAAAGTTGAATAAAAGATGGCAGCACTAGGTTTCATTGCTTTTTCTGCTATTTAGAAACTATCCTATTATCGATGATTTACAAGCTCTTAACACGTTACTGCGTTATGTAAATTACCCGACTGAAAGCTTGTACTTATTAAAAAGATAATTTCAGTTCGAAGTTGGATATAGCGAGTACAAAAATCATGTTCAGAAGTGCTATTACATTAGTTGCCACCGTCTTAATTTACGATCAACTAGTCTACGAGAGCGATTATTGTCTTGATAACCCGATTCCTGGAAGTAGTTTCACTAAATTACGATAAGAGATAGCCGCCTACAAGTCAACACCTTGAATTTAGGTGTACTTCTTTTGATACAAACATCCTGATGTTTAACCGACTGTGAGATACACCCTGGTATAAAAGAGAATATTTTTCAGCATGGGAATATTGTCCACATTGTATTGATACCTATATCTGGCTCAAACTGTTAATGACTAATATCAGTAATGGATCGCCATGTAAATATATGGGGACCAGGACATTGAATACCAGGGTTCAGTTTTAAATCACGTGTGGGAACTACTGTCTCCCAGAGTATAGAGGATTTTATTAGTACTGATGCCCTTTTAGGGCCAAACGTACATCCGATGTACAATTGTGTATTGTCCTGTTGGTATTATTATAAAAGGTTACATTCCTTAGCAGAAAATAATGGCCATTTTGAATTGAGTGGTCATATTAATTGGAATTTCTTCTTGGGCAGAGTCCAATGTCAGCATAATTAAAAAGTATGAACGGAATCTGTCAAATGGTATTTGAGTTATCAAAGCGGCCATTTTGAATTGAATGGTAATATTTAAAATGCCTTCTTTAGTAGAGGCTCTTTGGCCATATACATTAGGTCCTAACATTTGGACAAAATTCCCTAAATGGTGTTTAAGGTTATCGAAAGTTTATCTTTAATAGAAAATTGTGGCTATTTTGAAATTCAGCAGCCATCTCAAAAAAATCTTCTTGAGCAGAGCTTTTATGTACCCAAGGTATCAGCATTACAATTTTAACCAAACCCATCAACTGATAGTTATAAAATATTGTACATTCTCGAGGAATGTCGGCCATTTTGAATTAAGAGGTCAAATCATAGAGTTGTGTATAATAATGAGGATAGTAGTCCACGGGGGCACTAAGTATGACTTTTCGAAATTAAAATAATGTACAATCGATTACCGATATACTGTTAGTTTTTAATTTCACATTTGAACTTTTAAAGTTATGTTTTATCGAAGCATATGCATGTAAAATACATGTATTCGAATACTACATGACATTGTATAAGTTATCGAATGATTTTAATTGTAATACAGGATATATTCTGCTCGAGAAATTCCGCACTGGCACTCGACGAACAATACAGAATATCGAGCGCAGAATATATCCTGTATTACACTAAAATCATTCTATAACGTTTTTATCGTGTGATCCTCTGTATTGCTACTGTGAATGTCCCCTCCGTACCAATGTTTTCTATATTGCGACAGAGATGATCAACGGAGACAATCTCCGTAGCAATACAGATTGGTACAGCACAAGAGCTGACCAATCAGAAGGCTTCATGTCAGGCTACGGGTCTGCTGACATGACTTTGAAATTCCAATGAATCATCCCCGTACGCGTACGATAATACGCCTAATGGTTACAGTTACAACGTATCCAATTATATCAATTATCTGTGGTCAATATCAGCATCTAATTATGATCGATAATCGCATTGATTCCTATCCATTCATAAAAATTGAATCACTGACTAAATCTATTCATATGGCTTGGTATCTTAACCCTTAAATCCGGTGACGTCTGATTTGCTTTCATTTGGTTTTTGGAACACAAATTAAAGTATTATACATTTTTTGAAAAAGGGACAGGGAAGTGTTTATGAGAAAGGTACTGTATATGGAATACTTAATACTGTTGGGAAAATGTATTTAACATTTAGTACTTGTTTTCATATTATTTGTTGGGGTAAATGCGTTTTCTTTGATATATTGGAGATTTGGTATCAAAAATATATTGAGAACACAAATACAAACCATGAAATAAAACATAAATTTGGCTGTAGCTACCAATTTAAGAGTTCGGTCACTGGTGAAGGGATGTGATTGAGTTCATACTGAAACGTAACAGAGTGCATCTAGGCCTCGTACAAATGGTCCACTATTGATATGCCCCTTATCTCGAAAACACTTTTTCTCCGATAGAGGTAACCGGGAAAGATAAAATTCTGTAAACTTACCCGGATTGCTTCCGACTCCCAGCTTTCGGGATAATGTCAAAACTGTCATATTTCGAAAACGTAGTTACTTACAGTTCAGATTTGTCTTCACATTCCCTTTCAAAATGTTGTTTTAAAGTTATTCTTGAATTAAAAGTTCCATTCATTTTCTTTTTCAAATTCAATGTTTCCTAAAAATCGAAATTCACTTTTTCCCAATCTAAAACATAAATGTGGACGTATGTATTGATTTGATCCTTTTAATTACGGGAATATGAATGTTAGTATCGGAGCGTATTTTGTTCCTACATGTGGAAAACCATCTGATAGTAAGCCAAAATTAAATACATGGGAAAACTTAAGAACCGGATGAAGCTGAAATCAAAACATTCTGATGAACCTACCTTGCAGAGTTCCTTTAATCGTTTTGGCACCTTATAGAGTTGGTCTCTTATTACAAAGTCCCTTAGTTCATTGAGCAGAGATATTCGTTTATGATATGGCCAGTAATTTTTAGGTTTGTCTTGACGGATGGATATCCTCGAGCTCGTTGAGCGTGCCAGGTTTCCTTTGTCTTTACTACCAAGTCCTCCCATTGCATGTTATCCTTTTTCAAAGGGGTCGCTTATTTACCCATTCGCCTGATGAACAAGCCAAGGGAGAACGTTTGACCGGAGGAATCGGACTCTCGGCCTCAGCCGCATCTTTTTTCGTCGTAATCAATTGTTCCAATCGCCATGGTAATACCCTTTACACAGTTGACGTCACAATTGAATTTTAATTGCTCTGATTGTTGAACACGTTACCAAAAAGGTAGCTATGCTGCTTACGAGTTATTGATACTCCATAGAAACGGTGTTTATTGTATTCTATCAAGTGTCAACATGTTTTCCGTTTTCCAGAGCATCACCATAAACAGGAAGCAGTTTTCTGTCTGAAGTATTGGGAAGTCGGCAACTATAATGGTGAACAGCTGATAGGCCCTGCTACAGTTCGATAAACGGTCAATACAAACCCAATACTCTCGATAGCAGGCTTATCGCACCGTAGCTGAAACGGTAGAACTCAATGATGACTAGGCCGACATACATTCCGCGAGATATTCACAGCCGGGAATTTCGCGTCATAAATATTCCTCTGCCTGGTTGTGAAAACACTCGATAGGTGGCGTCATTAAAGGTAGGACTTATTTGAGCGTTTCGTTTTCTCAAATAGTTCACCACTTAGTGATTACAGAAAGACATTTCACAAATCTGAATCGGAAAAGGTAAATATCGATCTATTTCGGCGTTTTTACAGTTCTTTCCTAGCTGGTCTATAAAAGATTTGCTGGAAGAGTGAAGTTACAGCGCCATTCTACACAAAAAACATACTTTCTGTAGAATGATTGGTGATTTTCGATGGTAAATCGTGTAAAATCTGAGTAAAGTTTTTAAAAAATTTCTCGGCCAAAACTTTTTCTTTGTATTTTATAACACACATACCAAATTTGAGCAAGTTTTACCAAAGATTAAAAAATCTGCTCCTGCACAAAAATCATCCCTCCGATTTAGAGTCTATACTTCACTTTTGTCAGATGAGCGCACAATCTATGCTAATCTCCCATGGGGAGTTAGCCACCTCTCCCCGACTCCCCCCCACCCCCCCTCTTTTTTGCCTATTATTATATATACACCATTAGAGAGGGGAGGCCTAGCTTGGGGGTTTAGATCTAAAGCCCCCCTCACATATGAACGAATCCACTAAGCGTAGTCTTGCAAATTTGATTGGAACGTAAATATGCACATCTTTGTGCATGCTTTCGAAGCTTTCCGAGTGTATACTTACACATACAAAGACCCCTACGATGTACAACGTACATATACATGTAATAATGGGAGTAAACTCTTATTTGGCAGTACACGCAGGTTGACGTCGGGGGCTTTCGTTCATATATTGAGGCCTTAAGGTCTACATTGAAATCTCATTGAGACCTACAGTATGAATTTCTGACAAATAATGTAAACATATGAATCGGATTTAAGATAGCTTATTTATTAGCCTACTGGCGAGAGGTACTGTCCTTCGGGTTATAATTACTTTATGGAACCCCATCCCCGTGCACCTTGAAATACATGATTAGTTCATGTATAATGTTATTTGTATGGCTTTGTTCAGGTTGAATTAAATATATGTTTATTAAATACATCATGTAGTAATTGTGAATTACTGTACTTTCCAGGCAAATGAAGCAGCCAACGAGAAATAGGAACCCCTAACTTACCGTATAAAGATCACAAGGGACTGTCCTTATCAGGTGTTCAATATGTTATACCAGATTGACTACCAATATGTGGGTGACTTTTATAAAGGAAACAGAAACAAATATAACAATGGAGTTTCATAATGACAAAAAACTGATATTTTGGCTGGATATAATGAACAAGCAAGGCTTCAAGAACATTGAAAAATGATTGCAAAACATTCAAACGAGTCACGAACAATCGCATAAATCCCGGGTATTACACCCTGATAAAACAAAATGAAACCCAAAGTTCGTCAACAACCAAACAAAAGAAGCTGCACAAAACTTTCATATTGTAGCATTATTTGGATATTGGTCATAATTGGAATCAGTGCAATTCAGATTGAGATGGGAAATAAAAATCGTAAAAGAACAGGTGTAACTAGGAATAGATTTCCAATTGCTGAATGGAAGCATATGAAACCTGGAATTGACTTACTTCAAAATAAAATAAATGAGCAAAAAATTGTACTGAAAGACATAGAGAATGAAATAAAATTAAAAAAGAAGGTTGTGAGTAGTCTGGATGTTGGACATAAACCAGTGAAACCTACAAAAGTGAAGGTATGTAATCATTGTTTGAAGGAATATATTGGGGTCCTCCACGAACCTATTGAATTTCGGCCAAATCGGGCTTTCCATTTGGCCACCAGGGGCCGCTTTGCAAAAATGATGATACCCATCTTGTACGTTCATTTTAAATGTGTTTTATCAATTTCTTTTCATATTTTAATATCAAAATTGATCTCATATTTTCGCATACTGTACTCCGGGTAAATTTCGACGCTATAAAATTTCGCGATTTTTCAAAATTGCAATTTCGTGGCTATTTAATTTCGCAGATTTGAGTTGATGACATTACGCGGATTGCACAAGTTGAATTTTTTCCGATTACCATGAATCAATGCGTATCTGGCTATTTTAGCCCGTTCAGAATCCATATAATGTTTGTATTTCCCACATTTAGGGCATTTATTTGAATATTCTTGAATGACTTTTTCAACTTCAATTTGTAGAATATCATTGTCGTCAACAGTTCTTGCCTTTGTTGGCCTAATAAGCCAATTCAAAATGTTGACATTTTAGCCTTTTTTGAATTAGCACCCAACAATACTGGATGAAACGTTTTACACAGGGGTCAAATCCCCGGGGATTTAAAAGACAAATTTCGCGACGATAAATGTTCACGATTTTACTACATTCGCGAACAAAGCGAAATTAAATCGCACGCGAACAATACCCGGAGAACAGTATTAATCCGTGATTGAAAATCGCATAATTTCAGTACAGTATTTTTAAAAACCAAGTGCATAATTTGAAAGATTTTACTGTATAAAATTGAGGGGATTGATAGAATATAATTTTGAGCACTGTAGTTATTAAATTAAGAAGGAAATTTTAAAGGTAGAATTAAAATATGTCTTTTTGATTTCAGCCTCTTCGGAAAAGAAAAAGAAGCTATTTCTCAACAAACACAGATCACATGCTTGGACTCTGTCAATCACAGCAATCAAAACGTAGACGGAAAACAGTAGAGCTTATACAAGATATTCACGGAGATAAGAATGAAAATGTGGAGTGTGGTTTGTTCAATACATGGATCCATACAAGTAGGAACAAAAATAAAACATTGTCAAATTCAAGAGTAGTACAAAAGTATTTGAAAAAGAAAACGCATGAAGAATCTGTACAATATGAAAAATCAATATATAACAAAATACGTAGCATGAAGGTGCTGTATAAAGGTGGTCTTATCAGCAGGGAAAAATACTGCTCAATTAGAAAAACTTTAAAGAAACCCAAACTTCTGGAATATAAAGCTCTGGTAAAATTTCGAAATAGCATTTGTCCAGTAACAACAGAACCAATTCCAGCAGTGAATGGTAGAAAGGTGTCTAGTCTGGAAGATTGTTTGTTAGTTTTGGCTAATATGTACATAGGCATTGATAGAACTGTTGGTAATGTGCTAGAATGGTTTAATGGTAATATTGGGGAGTTCCATGTAACAATAGGGGCCGATGGGGCACCATTTGGGAAGTGTGATACATCCACTGCTTTGTTGGTGGGGTTTGCCAATTTGCCCCATAAGGTACGTAGCTGTAGTCACAATTATATTGTATTTGGTGCAAATTGTGCAGAAAGCCATCCAGAAATGATGAAATTGTATTATGCCATTGGGGAAGAAATGAAAGAAATTGAAAAATCGTCATACGAAATTGATGGATATGAGTTTGACATAAGTTTCAAATTTTCATTCTTTCCCAATGACTCAAAAATGATTGCATGTTTAGCTGGAGAACTCACTAATAGTGCCACCTTTCCAACTACATTCTACGATGTTTCAAAGAACAATATTTCAAAGATAGATGGCACAATTGGTGTTGATTTTAAACCATGGGACTATGGCCAAAGACTAAAAGTAGTACAAGAAGTTGAGAAATTGAAAAAGTCCAACAGTAATATTGCAAGGCAGAAAGTAACACAGTTTATAGCCTCTAAGAAATCCAGACAGGAATTTATTCCGCCATTTGGTGCCTTTGTGTCTCGTGCACGCGTAGACCCCTTACATTGTAAGAATAACTCATTTCAACAATTGAATGAATGCATTATTACAGAAGCTTTGTCAAATTCTCCCAATGCAGTTCTGAACAAAGACATATCCATTTCTCAACTTCCAAACTGCCAGATTAAAAAGTATTTCAATGCTTTGGAAAAAATTGGTGCTGGAAAACTGAAATATCGGCTGGAAAAATGGTATCTGGAATGCAGAAAAAAGGGTCAACCTTTAAGTGTAAGGTTCACTGGTGAAGATTGTCTCAAATTTTGTAGAGGCTTCTGTGATGTTATACAGGCAGTTATGCCATCTTCTCTATCAAATAGCTCACTTTTCAATGTAGCAAAGTTTACCTATGCCTTTGTACATCTTCGCATTTGTGCTTCTCTTTTCTCCCGTGTTGAGATTTCACAGATTGATGTAGAGAATCTTGAATACCATGCGAGACTTTATTTTAATTGTGTTGCACTTTTCTTTGGAAAAATTAGTCTAACACAATGGCTTATAGGCTATGCTATACCTAGACACACTGAAGAAATATATGAGGAATTTGGGTATGGTCTTGGTCTTAATTCAACCCAAGGTCGTGAGGCAAAACACCGTCAGATCAAAAAGTACGTTGAGCATTCAGTAAAAAGCAAAAGATGGGAAACCTGTTTGAGGCATGACTGGGTCGAAAATGTCTGGCTCAAATCTAATGATCTCAGTGGTGAAAACTATAGCAAGAATTCTGACAAAGCATTATGTATATATCATGAAGATGATAGCCATTGCCTCTGTGGTAATACTTTACCATGTTCTATATGTAGTTCTGATGTTTTTAATCTTATAGACACATCATGCAAAGAAGGTAAAGTGGTAGACTCATTGAAAAACATATAAAAGGCCTACCGGTTTTTAATCTGATAGACACAATTTCAGATTATCCTCCACTGAACTCAGGGGTCCAAACATCATACACATCATTCCTTCCTTCTTCCCCCTGCTATCAGCTGGCTAGAATACTAGAATAAGGAAGGAATGAAATGTATGATGTCTGGACCCCTGCATTCATACTTCAGAGGATGTAGATTATGCGAAGGTAAAGTGTCAGACTCATAAACATATAGAAGGCCTGCCTGTATATAGACTGCATTTTTCAAGACAAAGTTCATGTTGCAAGTTCATAGTTCATGATAAATTAAGATTTTGATATTTTTATGAAAATACAATTGATGGGGACACAATACATTTACATGTACTTCCTGGTCATTAGGTATTTAATTAATATATGAATTTGTCTTTACATCGAGTCCTTCAAAAGACTTTGTTCAAAAAGTATGTCAATCATTCAGTAAAGATGAGAAACATGTTTGGTGGCATGCCTGGGTCGAAAATGTCTGGCTCAAATCTAATGATCTCACATTATCAGATTATGCAAAGAAGATATTTAGTGGTAGACTATTGGAAAACATATAGAAGGCCTGCCTGTACATAGACTGCATTTTTCAAGAGAAAGTTCATGTTTCTCTTTGTTCATAGTTCATGACAAAATAAGATTTCTATATTATAATTAAAATACAATTGTGGAGAACACAATACATTTACATGTACTTCCTGGTAATCACATGTTTATTGATATATGAATTTGTCTTTACATGTACAGTTGTTCAAAAAACTTTCTGTTAGGGGTTGGGTCAAAATATCGATGTGCGTCAAAAAAACGTAATTAATTTCATTAGGTCTCATTGAATTGAAATTCCCGTGAAAACCAAAATTGCTGTCTATCACCTAATGAAATCAATGTTTGACCCCCTCCCCCTAACGAAATTAATCACATTTGACGGACATCGATATTTTAACCCGACCCCTTAAATAGTAGAATACTAGTAGTTAATTGTATGCTACTGAATTGTTGTTAAAGACTTTCTGCTTAACAGCAGAATGAATAGTTAATTGTACATTGTATGTTACTGAATTGTTGATGAATATAAAAATCTTATCAAATAATAGAATAAAAAATCAATAAGGCCAAAAATACATGTATTTTGTACCTTTTACAGTCTGACAGTAGTTACTGTACTATAGATACACTTAATTTGGCTACCGCTTTAATTTGACGGATTGGCGGATTGAAAAAATCCACCAATTTTCAGATGTATTTTGGATAATCCCCAAAATCACTGTAACTAACAGGTCTAAGATTTTGCTTATGTAGGTATTCCTTTTTGGATTTTAGTGCTATACCAAGACTTATCATGCTTATTGCAGTTATGCACATGAATCTGAAATGGTTATTTCCACACCAATGATAAAACTTAAACTGAGTCCTGAATCCGCCAAATTAAATAGCCGCCAATATTTGAAATTGAGTAAATCCGCCAAATTAAGTAGCGTCAAATTAAGTGTATCTACAGTAGTATCTAAATGGAGTCCTGGATGGGATGCTGCCTCACCCCATACATATTCCAGAAACCAAAACAACAGTCGATGTGAAGTTTACTTTGCCTCTTACTAAATCTGATTGTAAAAGGATTGACATCATTGACAAGTACTTTCATTCTGGATCCATCTGACTTTCTTTTTTCTATCAAAAGACATTTTTCAATGTTCTTGAAGCCTTGCTTGTTCATTATATCCAGCCAAAATATCAGTTTTTTGTCATTATGAAACTCCATCATTATATTTGTTTCTGTTTCCTTTATAAAAGTCTCCCACATATTGGTAGTTCCAATCTGGTATAACATATTGAACACCTGATAAGGACAGTCCCTTGTGATCTTCATACGGTAGGGGTTGCTAGTTCTTATTGGCTGCTTCATTTGCCTGAAAGTAAGTTTTTAATTCACAATTACTATAATGTGGTGATGTATATGATAAACATGCACCGTTGCTCATATATATCGAATAGAGTCTAATATTGGTCACATCACAAGACTAAGAATAATTCTTAAACTAGATTATAACAGCTACAGCTACCTCTGAAAAAGGTTCCACCAGGAAATTCATTACTAGTATATTCTTTTGTCTAAATGTCATGGTTATGGTATTTTACCAGAACTTTGGGAAAGTCTTTGAAGGATTCTGACGGCTGTAGGGAGAGGGGGTTCGGAGGGCTTGAGTGAATCCCCCAAACCAAAAATCAGAACAGGGTGTAAACTGCAGAAATATTCTGCTTGTAGCCCCATCACCATGGCTGACTAGGGAGAGGGGTTTCGGAGGGCTCGAGTGACCCCCCCCCCCCATCCAAACTTATATAAAAATCATGACAGGCCAGTCACACAGTGACAGTTCGTACATCTCACCTTTGCAGCGCTTCATATATATGAAACAGTTCTTCTTGAGCTATGGGGAAAAGGTTTGCTTTTTCATCAATAAAACGCTTCCAAGACATTTTAATTTTGAGAGGAAAACGATTTATCAAGATTTATGAATTTCAAAAAATATTTTTATTTCAAATACTTCCTCTACACAGAACGAAAAACCGACAAAAAATTGGGTGTAAAACCCGGGATTTATGTGATCGTTTGTGACGCGTTTGAACGTTTTGCGATCACAGCGCACCAAGCGGAGGAATATTTATGACGCGAAATTCCCGGCTGTGATTAGATACCAAATCAACTAGTGAAGAAAGGTATAGGTATTTTATCATCGCTGTTCACTAGCCAAAGGCTCTACGTTGTTCTCATGCCGATGATATTTACTTCTTTCTTAAATATGACCATATTTTAAGCTATTCAGATTTTCTTAGTGGAAGTGCAAATATAAATCAGAGCCTGTTACGATTACTCTCACCCATAATCTGAACGATATGAATTTTCAAATCATTGCACATTTTCCTTTTAGAACCAGGTGTCAAACAACAATGACGAATGACGATGTCAAAGTAATTGTATTTGTAACTCCATATCGTTATGTCTTGTTAGCTGATTTTATCTTTTTTCTTTTTCGTGAGAAATATAAATCATCTCTAAATCAACTAATTAGTTTTTCTCGAAAGAAATATTTTCTTATAATTGAGCACGATGGGGGTAGTTGTAGTACTTTATTATATTACACCGTCGGATATAAAAGGAGACGCGGTGACACAACTCTTAAGTGCTTCCTTATCATTGCGTCGACGTGACTTTTTCTGCGTGCTTCGTACTGAGCCTCATCGAAGATAAAAATCAGGAGGAGAATGACATCAGAATTTAGAAGACTTCAACCTATCGATTTATTTGGATTAATACACATATTAATCGATCAGCTTGCTGAGGTATAGGAATGTGTTGGATATGTACGATGATTGGCTCTTCATGATAGCTTGGGCTTCAGATTAGATTCCCATTCCCAAAGGAACGTAACAAATTAAAACTTATGCCATAGGTTATGGTGGTAAATTCAGTTCTCATCGATTTCTAAACCTATAACCAAGTGAAAGGCATTGCCCTATCATAGCAAGGAAATTAAAATGACAAAATCAATGAGTCATGAATTATCCATGTACGAGAGAGTTAGGGTGGGTACCATAAACTCTCCAACCTCGAAGTGTAAGTGATTTCAAATTGAAACACATTCTCAAATATCTCATCCACTTATAAGGGTCGAGTCTATCCAGTGTAAATATTCAGATTGAAATTGATATACAGGGGCGAAGTAACGATTCAAAAATTAATTGGAAAAAACTTACAATCAAGTGAGTATGGCAGTGGGCGCGTAACCAAGGTCTGAAAATGGGCGTGGCAAATCTAAATAGTGGAAGCAAATTTAAGGTGAAGATGATATAATGACACTATTGGATATCATTTTTACAGTTTCAGGTGAAACAATGATCTTAATATTACTTTTTATTACAATTTTGCCCGCCTCGTGTTTTGCTGCGCGCGCATAATATACGTGCATGATATCCATAATACGTAACTTAAACCAAAACAACCAAATAAGTGTGTATTAAAGATTTACCTGTTATCTCAAAATCTACTTGGAACTATACCATTGGATTTATATGGGAAATCCCTCAAAGAGAACACTCCTGGTGTGTTACGACGTCAAAGGCTTTCGAAAAGTTGAACATTAATGGAAACCTAAAATGTATCGAATCTTATCTTGAATGTAAAATACATTGATGCATTCGTCCTCAATTTGTTTTTGGATTGAACTTCAGAATAAACGAGAAAAAACAATATAATTCTTATTAAGACAAAGCTATGTTGTATTCTATTTTTATTTACACACAACACAAGATCAGTCTCACATTCAGAAGAAATATATATTTGTGCATGTTGCCATCTATAAAACAATGGTATATATATATTTTATGAATCTATTTTACAAGCCGCTAATAGTGTAAACTGTTCCATCTATTTATTAGTAATCGGTCTTTTTTGTCTATAACTACTTTACGTACGTCGGTGAATGCAGGCCGAGATAACAAATTGAGCACACTTCTAATATATTACAATGAAGTACGTTTTATTTATATACACAATGGTTTAGGCACATAGTGATAAAAGTGTGCTTGGAGAAACACCTTGGCCTTCACAATCTGGTTTCAATTCTTTACTCTCCTTGAACCAAGGATGAGGAAGACTTACATTATAAAGGAGGTCTAATTATGATACATTTTAAATATTGTCAACGTTCTAAAATGAACAATGGGCTACATCGTTTCTTTTTCAGTGGCTTTCAATTGTGTTGTGTGTCGTTTTCCGCCAACATCTTGGTTTGACTTTAGTAAACAGCGACACTTTGTTAACATGTGATGCCTAACTGCCAAAACCTAATTCCTTGTTTTTGTTCATTGGACATAGACTCCTCCCCTTGATTTATTTTCTTCTTCCACTTTTCTCGCAAACTCTACTTCGTCCTCCGGAATGTCTAATTCTAAGTAGGAAAACAATTTTTCTTTTTCAACGGCAGCATGAAAGTCCTCGTATTTCTGAAAAAGATTTGATGTGCAATTGTAAATGCGAACATTTGATTAACTTTAGATAAATATAATGTCAAAAGTTTGATTTATGAATTCTGCTGTTGTGTATTGCGCATATTGGCCAAAAGCTGAGGTCATCCAAAAAGCCCTGGCCTAATCTCTAGTTAAGTATTTTCTACTTACCCCGCAATATTTTTCTCCATTGAAGATTTGTGGTGGAAGGGGAACTTCGTCTCCTTCATCATCCGGGATCTTTACAACACTTCTCATGAATTCTCGTTCTTTCTCGTTCTGTGGATCCGTGATATCAATTTCCTCGTGTTGTATCTTTTTAGCCTCGAGAATACTGATTATATAGTGCTGTTGAAGTTTAAGCTGAAAATACACCTGAACTGTTACTTCTTATCACATTTAAATCAATAAAATTGAGAATGTTTACTTTAGTATATCTGGCTGAACTGTAAACGCCGTGTTTACTCCAAAACTTTGAAACATTGGATCGTGCAAAGTTTGTAGTAAGATCCAACGTTTAGTTATTTAATTCAAGTAATATTAAAACATCCGACAAACCATGGATAATTTAACCAAGTCAGTAATATATATTATATAGTACTTCTTTCTCTTTAAAAGATGTCTATGTAAACATGGGCATGGGCCACATATATCTGTTTTTGTTATTTGATATTTGTTTGATAAAAGTTGCTGGGATTTGGTTTGGGGCTTTATGAGCTCAAGAGACCTAAATCTATTTTTGCACCCTACAATGAAGTTAAAAACACAAAAATGGGAACAAAACAGTTTCACACACTTCAGTTAACGGATGTATAAATTTTCAGCAATGATTCTTTGTATGGAAATCTAAAACTGACTAGCTTTTGGGCATGCTGGGTAAAGGGTAAAATGTCAATTTCGGATTTATTTTTCTAAAATGTTTTTTCTACAACTGATTTATGTAAAGGCATTCAGGATAAATCGTTTAAATAAAAAGATAACCATATACAAAATGTTACATTCCACAACACCATCGAGCCATGCGCGAAAAGTTCCAAACTCCAACGCATTTTTAAAACAAAAACTTTTGATTTAGGAGACTTTTTCTTAGAACTTATTGATCGACCTGGTATATAGTATACACGTCACGATGCCAATGAGAAGACAATGTCGTACAAGACTTTGAAGACTCACCATGACGTTGCCAGAAATCCTGGACGTGTATATCTTAATCACCATCTTTTTGCTGTCGATCAAATGGTCCCTGATTAACGCCTAGATCCTCTCGGTGTCTCGTCTAAACTTAAACAATAAAACACGATCTATATACTCAACTTTTATATTACTCTTAACAACAAATGTACAGAGTGTAATATATTATATTCAACAAATATGATTTGTTGATGTTATTTACATGATCTTGTTGTGTTTACTTATGTCACCCCAACTTTTTTTTAGATAAGATGTTATTCTTAGTCGGTAAACCAGTCATATTGTATGTAAAATGGAAGCATATCATACCATATCATATCATATCATTTCAATCATATTATATTATATCAATCATATATCATATCATATCATATTATATCATCATATTACATAATTTTAATTATGTCATATTATTTATAGTATGTCATGCTACGGTACGTTACGTAATACTGCTGTGATATGCCATATTATGTATTATGCTGAAAAAGGATGCATACCATTTGGGGCACATCTGCTATATGGCATGCCACTATCATAACTACATCGTATAAACTGTATGACATCATTCTGTCATTCTGATCATTAGCTTGTTTTCAAGTAATCATCAAGAATCCTGTATTATTACTTGTACTGAGGTCACCAGTATAGAACCCTCTATACATGTAGCTTACTTATCTATAAGACTCACCTAAAATACATACCTATTTACATCCACAATTAACTCACCTTTTTCGAACCTAAGTAGACTCACTATAGAGCTGTATAAACATAAATATTTACTTACATATACCAGTACGATAGTCTTTCGAAAACTGACTAATGAAGCATCTTCCAAGATTAACACTTATCCAAAAATAAAGAATCGTACAAAATGGTCGAGATTAGAAATATGGATAAGTAAACTTACTTACCGTACAGCAATAACCTTGATTTGTGTTCATCTTTGAATGTATTCATTAGAGGGTCGTGCCAGTGTTTAATATACTGCAACCCCAGCTGAACACTCTCATAAGTGAGCGATGAGATACAGCTGAAGTATGGACCAGCACAAATCAGTCTTGCAGCATCCACCCAAAATACGGGGATCGATCATTTTGTAATTTCTGCTCTAGCTACTGAAAATACCAATGTTTGGATTTCGTTTATCGGCAAGGCTTTTTTACAGAAAATACGATCAGCAAAAACAATTATTTAGAATAAATATTTTTATGTTCTTTTTGTGTTCTTTTTTTCATGGTTAATGTGGCAATTCCGTCTGTGGCAAGGTGAACATGTAGCTCTTTCTGTTGAATTTATTTCAAGGGGTCTCCAAATCAATCTTGCTGCAGGAGTAAATACCTACGGAGCTGCAGGTCGTGTATTTATAGCAACCAGGCAAGGAAACCATCAGAATCGTTGCAAGAGAGAAACCAACCTGATGTGATACGCCCTCAAATGTTTTTCTTCTGCATCAAAATTCGCTCGATACTGCAAACTTTATGAAATGTAGAACTCACAGAGATCTCACAGGCCTGGCTAGTGCACATTAAGCTGTCAACTACAAAACCCTTTAACTATAGAGCTGGTAGCACTACGCATGCTCAGTCAGTTGTCTGCTTAGTTGAAACGGGATAATATAACTCAACTATTAAATGGCCCCATACAATTCAATTGAAAAACATACAAATCTTCGGATCAATTACGAAAAAACCAAGATTTCAGTTACCAAACCACATATACCACGTTATAGCTCCATGTGTCCACCTTGGAACTCGAAATGTCTCTAGAAAAAAGAGCCACCAAAATCAAAAGATCTGACCGCTTTTTCCGCCATCTATTCGAATTTTCAACACTTTTCAACAGATTTTAAACACAAGACCACCGTCACATAAAGTCAAATATTTGGAGTGAACCAAATAATTTCGTAATACTTTTTATGAAATTATATACACAAGAGATAAACAAAATAAAATGTAAAGTCTGTACACTTTCACTGGTAATTGCACTGAAAAAATTTCCATTTCCATCAACCATTATCCCGATTTTAAACATAGATTTTTTGTCTACCTTTTCAACAGCGACATCTGTGGGGTTCTACCTTTTCAATAGCGACATCTGTGGAGTTATCCCAACATGGCTGATCTGGTACAAAGTTTACCATAGTGATTCTCTCAATCCTCCCCTGTTCAGTTTCTATGTCAAGCAAGCATGCCAGAATGGTGATCAGATTTCACTTTAAAGTCATGATGATCTGCTAATCTAGTTAGCAACAGGTTTCAAGAAGCATATTGTACAGATTTCTTAAGTGTACACAGGAGGTTAATCAAGTGCAATTTTGGAAAATAACACTATTTTTCATTAAGAATTTTAATCATTTGTTCCATTTTTACCAGAATAACATTAAAAGGATATTTGAAAGAATTATTTAAGCTATAACAACATATATGTGGATTCTTCACATCAAAAGTATATGAGCTGAAAATTAACTTCAAAAGTGGATATATATATACAATATTTTCCAATATGGCGGATTTGGACTTTCACAGAAAATGTATATCAAACATGTGTAGAATTTGTGGATCAAGAGCACAGACTTTCTATCAGGTAAAAACAAAAGTTACTCCATATTTGGCTCAAAATAATAAAGATATGATTCTCAAGTTTTATGGCATTGACATTTCAAATGATTCCAAAGATATCTACCCTGTCAAGATATGTCAAGTTTGCTACTCTCGAATGTGGAACTTTTATCGAGACTCACAAAAGTCGTTCTCAGATTTTGAGATATTTCACTATGTAAAGCACACTTCAGACCCTTTATGTAAAACATGTGCAAAATATTCAGAGGGAAGTAAAACTGGACGAAAGAAAAAGAACAAAAGAGGGAAAATAATGGATAGAGTATCGCAACCCGCATTGAGTGAAGAGGCTCCATGTGATCTAGTATTGTCAGAGTAAATCCCACATATAATACCTGTGTGTCATTCTCCAGAACACCCTCTCCCAAATACTATATCTAGTACCCCTCTATCTGATGTACCCTCTACCATCATCCCCAAGAAAAAGCTAAAGAAAAAAATATCAGACACATTTGATGAAGAGACATTGTTGTCAGATACTGCCTCAAATCTAAAGCAAATACCTGGCTGTTGCGAATCAGAAGGCCCTCCCTTGACAAGCACCCCATTACCATCTACAAGTGCCAAGAGATGATGAATTTCAAATGAAATAAATGTATCTCCAGTCATCAAACCCCCCCCCCCTCCAAGACAAAACAAAGATGTATCAATTGATGACATAATGCGCCGTAATATAACATCTCCTCTTAGTAAGGATGAACAAAAAAATTCATTCCTTCATGACTCGGCGACAGCTCAACTATTCGTACAAAAAAGTAAGAAAAATCCTATTATTGTTCCAACAAAGGGTCAGCCCATTGAGCTTGCAGTTATTCACAGGGGTACAAGAGTTACATCTAATTTAGCATCTAAAAACATATAAGAAAAAGAACTAAACAGTTGGACTATTGCAGATTTGTAGCATCTAGTGGGCAATTGGATGCCCTCAAAACACAGCTTGTCTGAGATTCAGTCATTTGACAAGGATGCCCAACAGCAAATTGTAAATAAAATCACAAAAACTGTTAACTTGAGTGTTGAGCAATCTCTTGCTATCAAACCCAATTTGAACTTATCATACAGGAAATATGCCAACCTATCCCGCCAGTGTAAAGAAAATGGCATCAAGTTAGCAAGCAAAGAAAAAATAATTGTTCTTAGAGACAATCTCATATCTGATGATCTCGTAAAACATGTGCAAGTAAAACTTAAATCAAAGAAGTTCTCGAATGTTGATGGATATATAATGAAAAAATACCTATCGTCCATGTTGGCAATATCTCTACTTTTGCCAGGGGGCTTCTAAAGTCATACGATGAATCTAATTTACTCGTCCGTAAGTTCCCAAACAATGAAATCTGGATAAAGTTAGGAGCCGATGCTGACCAGGGTTCTTACATGCTATGCATTCAGGTGTGCAATCTTGAGAAACCAAATGCATCAGGAAACACAAATGTCATCGCAATATCACATGCTCCTGATAACTACGGAAATTCCGCCTTGACATTAGAAATCTATTCCAAACAGATTGATACCCTTGCCTCTATGACATGGGCCGGGCGGAATATAAGGGTTTTCATAGATGGTGACTTTGCTTTCTTGTATTTATACTTATATGGAACATCAGGTGCCTGTGGAAAATTCTGTTGTTTGTTCTGCTATGTGACGAGAAATTCAGTCAAAGTCCCTAGGTCACACAGAAGCATTGCAGATAGGACTTTAGAAGGTCTAAGACGGGACCATCAGCAATTTATCAATAAAGGCAAGGGCAAACTAAAAGTAGCCAAGAATTTTCATAATGCCATCCATCCTCCCCTCTGGAACATCCCTTTGAGTCAAGTTGTGCCTCCCTACCTCCACATCTTGTTAGGTGTAGTAAAAAAGCACCAGGTTTTTTCTTGAGCAGGAGTTGCACACAATTGATTTAAGATTAGCTGATGATATCGCTGATCTAAATACAGAGTTGGCAGATGGAACGTTTTTTGATTATATCAAAAACAAAAGGAGGAGCAAAGAAAATCTAAGAGCCATAAGACACCCGAGACTTGAACTGGATGACGAAGATAATGATTTATCAAATAGTGAAAAAAGGATATAAAATCAAAGATATCAAAATTAGAAAAGGGTCTACTGGTCTAAGGAAACTGAGTAGGACATTGAGGAAGGGTACCTTGTTGAGCACATCCAATCTGTATTGGTAAAACATTGCATTGTGCAACAGCAATTTCACGGTGGTGCAATACAAGGAAATCACCGCCACAAATATCTTCAGCCTGACGTACAGGGAGACATATCAGCAGCAATTCAAGAAATAATATGCGAGCTGTCTGATGATATTGATCTAAATTCTCTAGCATTACCCAGACGATTTTTTCCCCAAGTTACACTTCCTCGAAGATCACATTGTTCCATTCATTGAGAAATGTGGACATGGCATGGGTCTTCTTGGGGAACAGGGAGTGGAGGGTATCGACAAAGAGATCAAGAAAGTTCAGGAAAGAAATGCATTTAATAAGGATGCAACCAAAAGATACATTTCTATCATGAAAGATCACCACACAAAAGTTAATCCATTTCTACAGAGACAAATCAGTGAACCAAAAGAAAGAAAATGTAAAATATTTAAGGCTGTGTATAGCCAGTAACACCCAAGACAATAACAATTGCAGGTTAAGCCAATAGTATAGAGCAATTGTGTGCTGAAATAAAAGTAATATAATCAATGTGAACTATTTAAAAAATTGGAAAATAATTATTGACCTATCATAGACATAATCATGTATATAGAACACTAGTATATGAGTCCTATTCATATGGTTGAATAATTGGGACCAAAGACGCTATATTAACTGTTACAACATTGGACTACTCAAGTTATGAATTTCAAAAAGTGCTTTGGATTGGATTAAACCAGATGAGGGTAAGTAATTATTTTGTTTTCAACAAAAAAAACTCCCAAAACTTTGCATGCTGCTATTGCGCAATGGAACTGGCCCTCTATAGTGTATAAGCAAAACTAAACTAAATTAAGGTGCTGCCCTCTTTATGACCTTTCCTCTCTAAATCAAAATAACAAGGTTATTTATCACATTAAGACCTAGTTTAGCACAAAAAAACAAAGAGTGTAAAACTATGTTGCATGAGTACCAAGGTCCACAGCTCTCTATCTAAGGACTAACAATTGATGAAGGAATGAGATAAATTCTACCAGATAGGGTATTCTCTTCTGCATCCACCCATGTGAAATTCAACTAAGGGAAAATACAACAAACTATCTTTATTTAATATCAAAGATAAGCATCCAAATCAGGAAAATGCATCAAACTCTTACAATTTGTCTAATTGACCGACTTTCTACTTATAATCATTTCTTTATAAATATAAATCAGATTTTGGTCAGACTTGTTTCCACTTAATCACAGCATCCTAGTGTTGTTAAAAGTATCAAAATTATATGAATTAAGTAGGTAAATGATAAGAGATTAATTAAAAATCAAGATGCGGTTTAATTCACAACAGAAAGATAAAGCATTAAAATGTGTATGCCGCAACTGTTATCTCCACAGGCAGAGTGTACAGTAGAACCTGTGTAAGTGGATGCCAAAAAGCGTTCCACTTAGGAGGTGTTCCACTTATGGAGGTTTTAGGTTCGTGGGAATTTAAAGAACATACCAGATAAAATATAGTGTTTATATGTATCACTGGAAATATGATTCTCCGTTCATTGCAGGGCAGCTATATACCATTAATTATTCATTAGTTTTACTCAAATAGGTGTCTGACATTCTTAATCCTCCTCATTCTGCCAGAAATGTTTTCTGACATTCTTAATCCTCTGCCAGTCTCAGGTACAAAGATTTGGCAATTAAGTTTTGAAGACTAGTGCCTACTGCTTATGATTCATTTGTTTTTAACTGACATTCTTAATCTTACTTATCGAGTCAACAAACAGCAAGGGGTATTAATTAGTAGTAGAATCACATGTCCATCTCTACAGGAGGTTAATCCAATTTGATGAATGATAATCTTATGAAATCCTAATTTACTGATTATCAAATTTTAATTAGTGGTAGCATCACATGTTAATATATACAGGAGGTTTATCCAATTTGCTATATGGTAATCCATTAAAATTCTAATTTGCCAATTATCATGTTATTACCTGTTTTCATACCCAGATATCACTGTAGGAGTTTAATTCTGTTTACATAAGTATCAATATTGAAATTTATGGAAAATTGACAGTTCCACTTAGAAGGTTAAATTTTCAATATGGGGTGTTCACTGTTCAAGTTTGGAGGTGTTCCACTTACAGAGATTCAATTAACATTAAGTCAATGGGTTTCTAAAACGGGACTTTGAAAAAGTGTTCCACTTGCGAGGTGTTCCACTTATAGAGGTTCTACTGTATTTAAAACCACAGCGCCAGTAAGGCACTGCTGGTAATTAAGTATCCTGCAAGCATAGTGCCTTTGACAGCTAAGTGCTAAGTGAGCATTAGCCAGAATTCTGTGAACTAAGTATATATGATGTGATAGTCAAATCCTGTGATATTCAAAAATGCATTGCCATATGCGAGAGTTGCGTCATCTATGTGTGTATTGCCATTATCGCATGTCTTATCATGGCTTATATACACGTTATTACCCCCCCCCCATCCACTCCCCCATCCAATATTAATTTATTTCGATTATTTTTTTTGTTTAACGCATGGAAACTAACTTTAAAAAGTGAGCAATGTCATTAGTATTGTGATAATATCGTCCCTTATAATTTATTACAGGTCGTGTAGACCATTGTTGCCCGATTTATAGCAAAAACATTGACTTTTGCACGTTTGTGATGATGCGCCTTTTTTAATAGATCTCACATCTTAGAAGTGTATCAGTTCAAAAAATACTAGATGACCTAACATATTTTGCCATGCACCGCGCCTATTCATTTGGCAATTCAGTTGTAAATTCTCTCTTGAAAAATCAAATCTTCCAAATTTGTTGAATTTTCTTGCAGAAATCGCCTAATCCCCCTCCATCCATTTTGTACGATCACCCGGCGTAATGTAAGACTCACGCCATTCACTTTTTATGCTTTCATAATCCAAGTTCACTCGATGTCGTTCCCTCAATATTACCCTCAATGGCGCGACACGCGCGTTCCAAAGAAACCATTAAAATCGAATCCTGTTTAAAGAACTTTTAATTTTACATTTTTTCCCAAATTAAAAGGGAAAACAAAAGACATATAATAGGACATTAGACTTTAGTCACCTTGATTTTTTGCGCTATCGGTTATATACAGGGTGGGGCCAATAAAAACGTCCACATTTTATTTTTGCTACAGCGTTGTTGATATCACAGACAAATGTATAACGCATATATCATTGGAAAGACACTTCAATTTCCAACAAAATGATATATAATTCATATAGGATGATCTGTTTATCCCATACCAGTCTTGGTCATCTGGTTCACATTGTTCAATTGGCCACAGTTCAGAAAATTTCCAACCAAACGTGGAAATATTTTAGAATATTTATGCCCAGTTTTATATTCTTGGCCGTGGTCGGATTTTCCTGTTCTTTCAGATATTCATCCTCATTTATTTTCTCGAATCTTTGATTATTAACAGGATGCTTCCTCCCTTCTTTAAACCATCGGGACAGCATCTTTTCCAATCAATCGTACCCTGCGTGCAGAGTCTAGTTAAACTACAAGAAGACGAAGCTCTCTTTTAAGAAGTGAAGTCAAACGAATGCAAAGGGTAAATCAATCGAGGTTGGGCCATGCAACCGAAGGCAAGCCATACAAGCGAATTTTGCCGATTCAATTTGACGGAGAATGCCGAGCCTCTCTTTTTGACCAATTAGAGACGTACTCTTTACATTCGTGGTACCCTCGGCCAGCTTCGTTTGCAAAGAGAATCTTCGGCAATCTCCGGTTTTTCTTGAGGTATCATCGGTTGCAAGTCAAAAGTCGACACCCTTAATCAAACCGTGAGATCGCGATTGTCTGCATTTTTCTCCATTGTCGTTTACAGTTGCGAACGTTACAAAAATGAACCAATATGCGAACGGCAATTATGACGTAGCGGGCAGATATACTATATCTGCCCGCTCGGAGCGGGACGTTAGCTATATCTGCCCGCAGATGAAAATACAAGTTTTTACAAACCAGCTTTTTATGTACCTGTAACACGTCCAAGTATGGGATAATGGAAATTTATTCCATACCATGGGTTATGGCAAAATTTTAACTGGGTTTCTTAGCAAAGCTTAGTAAAACTCTACCCGCTACGTCTAACCACGTTAGATCATGGTTTTGGGCTATATGTGGTCTGTTTTTCTCGACTGGTATGCACTTAGAGTTTGCTTTTTCTTGCTAAGTTCAATTACAACTTTTGGTCCTTTCCCTTGGCACTTGTGCTTATATATTTGAAGCAAATATCAATGTATCTTAGAACAATTTAACTTTATAACGAGCTACAATGCATAAAAATAGGTTCCATGCTTATTTTAGAGCTATAAAATGACTAACAAACAATGAAACTCAACTCCAATTTTTTTCTTTATACAGGGTGGGCCAAGATTTATCTTAAAACTTCCAAGATGGCCACCAGAATGCAAGATGGCCACCGAAAAAATAATGAGGTCTAGGACTTTTTACCATGTAACATGTGTGAAAATTTGAGGGAAATCAATCAGGTGGTTTTCCTGGAATCGTGATGACTAGAAAGTGAGACTTCAGAATGCCACCTAGTCTAACCCCATTTTGGTGCCTTTTGCCCCTGTTTCTAGAGGTGTTTTCTTTTTGAGGGAAGTCTGTTCTATCAAACGGTCAATCATTTTTTGTGGACCGGACAACAAATCTAGATCTTGTTTTCAGAGGGACCAGATCAGGGACTAAATGTTGACTCGCCAAATTGTGAGTGCGGGTCACCTGGGACCTTTAGACACTTATTTTTATTTGCCCCATAAGAATGAATAATCTTCATCAATTCGGTTAATTGTGGATGATATAACACTTTATAAACCCAACAAGATAAAATTAGACAACCAATTCCGGTTAGGCTGAGCTAAAACATGCATGCCATTCATCATCTTCGTCAGAAAGAATTTTAATTTATATCGAAATCAAAATTATTCGTGAAGTAGCGGCAGTAGACACGAGTAACATGATTCCAGTTGAGACTAACGTGAAATTTGGAAACTCGCGTTCTAAACACGAAACTCTGAAGATAAACGGGTATCTGAAGTAGACAAATTAGCGCTTGTTTTGCATGCGCTTTCCTTTCACGGTTGCGCTGTGAAAAATATTGCTAGCCTAGCTATTCTGAGTTCATTGGGCTACAGTCTGCTTAATTTCCTTACTTTAATTGACTGAAAGTGACATATTTAAATTGTCATTTATTGAGCAATTATAAATTATCATTATTGAACGAACCCCATTTCCCAGCCAGTAATTGTAAATTCTGAGCCAGTAATTGTAAATTTTGAGTGCAGTGGGCTCCAGTCTACTTAATTATTATGAAAGTGAATTATTAAAAAAATATTCATTGAACAATAATGAATTATTATTAAAGGAAACCCATTTCACAGTATATCAATAACTTATTGTTAATATTGCAATTAGTGTATATAGATGCCAGCCTAGTATCAGTTCATCTATTTAAGCTTGAGAAATAAAAACCCAGTTTCATAAGTGAATTCTTTATTTTACAGAGTTAATCGAATTCAAGATTAGCAACCATGGATAAAACAATAGTGTGCCTCTTGATTTTGGGATGCCTGGTGGGAATATCGCACTGCGGCCAGCCCGGTCGACCCGGGGTAATGATGCCCGGTGGGGTTAGTGAAGAATCACCTGCAACGGCCGAGGATCAAGAACTTGCGAATAAGGTAGTTATGCTCTCATAGTATAATTTGATGACACACATTGTAAAAAAATTATAAATATTCCTCATTAATAAAAAAAATTTCCCCAAGATGTTTGTAATATGAGATGCTTTACCGACCGAGCTACTAAAACTGATGTAGGGGACAGCTGGGCAAGACACCCTTTAAGCAATCATTTTAACTGCATGTGAAGATATTTTGCTAGGGCTCGCGTCCGCTGAACTAACGTTTATTGAAACAATAGACATTCGTTTCCTGAACAATCGGCATTAACTTTGAAATAAATTTCTGAATCCCGAGGTTTTTACCACAGACATGGACCAAGAAGGGCCGTTCTATCAGATAACTACTTTGAATTGTAGGTCTTTACGACATACATACGGTAGTGGGGCAGGACGGGCCACTTGGGGGGGGGGGATGCCGCCGTTTGAATCTGGCACCTAAATGAAGCAAAATCTATGGTCGATGTATCCCCTGTCAGGAGATAATATCAGGCGATATATATTTTAAAACCATAAAATAAAATTTGTGACCCATCTTGAACCATGGTCCTTCTTACCCCCCTGCTCTCACTTAGTAGCAACTTGCTACCTAGGTTCGTTAAATGCATAGTAATCATAAATGTACGAAATACTCACTGTATCATTGAAGTATTTTCATTTCAGGTGAAAGACGCTGTTGAGAGAGCAGAAGAACGAACGTTCGAAAAATTCGAAGCGAAGACTGTACGAACCCAGGTTGTCAACGGATGGTTCCACTATGTGAAGGTTAGTTGATGTTTTTGCAAATATCAATGTATTTTTTTTAATGAACTAAGTTGTGTTATAAAGCTCTCCGCAGCTTCCGATCATTCGTGCAGTTCTCCGGGCAATAACTCTGCTGATTTTTAGAGTTGCAAGGTATGATGTAAACCCTAGTTGCACGCTAAAAAGGTCACTCATCATTTTTGTATTTTGCCACTCACGCAGATTTGACTTGCATCATTGCGTAAGATTAAATGAGTTTTGTGATCAGTATTCAGTCGAAGAAATGTAGGATCAATTGAAACCATTTGATTTGGGTTTGTAATCGTAGGCATAGATTCAGTCGATTTCGGGCCTAGTTATTAAAACAAGACTTGATATTGTTGCGCTTTTAGAGGGTTCTGTTTTTTGGGTCACTCTGTATAATAAGGTACTGTTTTTTAAAATATGTGTGTGAATTTCCAATTTATATTCCTGAATAATTTTAAAAATAACCATAGCTTGGGGTATCTGGTCAACTCGGATTCTAGTTGACTTGGACGCTAGAAAACTCGGACCAAGTTATTAGCGACAATTTGCTTTATAAGGGTTGAAAGCAATTGACTTGCAATTGCTAAATATTGAAAATGAAATATGATTTAATGTATTAATGAACTATTTAAATAATGACATTCACGTATTATTTTGGGTGAGTCAAATTCAGTGTTTTTGTTTTAATTCTTGTTTTTACATTTATGCTGTTTATTCAAAATGCTCTTCATTATATAATTGAATAAATATTTTGATTAGTCCATTTATTAGTCCATTTGTCATTTTCTTAACGTATGAATATTTAAAAACATGATGTTTTTCTGTGCAAATACTATCATTAGGGTTTATTGGAGTGATTTCGCTGTGTTGCCAAAAATTAACGTTGGGGAAAGTTTTTGTATCTATCACCATGGTAACATACCAGGTACATTGTGGTATCCCGACGCTAAGTCAAAAGTCAACGCCATGTTAAACCAATGCACCCCTCCCTAATTAGCCGATATACTTTTTCCCCAAACTAACTTTTTGTCCAACCCAGTTAAATCACTTCAGAAAACCCTTGTTATAATAAATTAACCATAAAACATCGTGTTTTTAACAATTCATAGGTTCACTATAGTATGTATAGGGGTGACAAATGGACTATATTGTGTTTTATACCAAAGGAATTAAACCTGTTTTGCACAATGCCATGACACTAACTTTGATTAAGAAACCCAATCAAGAAATCTGTTTGATAAGTGACTCCGCTGTAACCCATGGACAGTTGTATTTTATTGACTTTGGGATAATCCAGATATCCTGAACCCCATGATAGTAAGCAAGTTCAAATATACTTTGATGCAGTTAATATAGACTGTTGTTTGACATGTTACAGGTGGACGTTGGTAATGGAGAATTCATCCATGTGAAGATACATCAACATTGGAACGGGAAAATCTCACTGCAGTCTTACAGAGCTGGGAAGACATCTGACGATCCATTGGAGTCGTTTTACTAGTTTAAATCGTGACGTGGACTTTTCATTTTAAATTACGTTAGCAGCAATAGAAGCTAATGCGAGAATATCTACATCAAGAATTTAAACTGTAACTCGATGATATAATTAAAAAAATAAAAAACAAAAGTCAGCAATTCCGTCAGTGAATATATTTCCCATTCATTGTAACACCCCAGTCACATTTCCTACGGCGACCGTACGGTCTATAATTTCCGCGGTAACATTTCTACTTTTGCCATAGAAATTATGCGGATGGATAATTTTACTTAATTTGCAATAATAAATCAAGGCTGACTATATTACTAAAGTGTTGAAGTGTTTTGCAACTGGACATGTCATTCAACGGAGGGTCTTCAAAAGTTTTTTGGTTGTTCATGGATAGTTAAGTAGAATCGTTTCATTGCTTCATACAAATACATGTATATTATTACCACCTTGCCGGGACAGTTCTAGAGGTTTTAGTGCTAATTAAGAAGGCATTCATTTTTCTATATCGACCTGAGCAATATGTGTTTCCCCGGGAAATTAGATATCGTTCAGTGCGTTCTTGCTGTTTCAGTTCTCGTCATTAACGGTGGTAATAATACTAATAACGTCATTTCTGCGGGCAATATATTGAAATATTGGACCTTGGGCCCTCGGTCCAATATTGAACAAATATTTCACTCTATTGAGGTGAATACCTGTACATCTTTCACAAGTGATATTAAGCAAATATTTCATTCTATGGAAGGCAATACCTGTTCATCTTTCAATGATTTTTGCAGTATGTATTGCCCGCAGCCCGTAGGGCGAGGGGAATACATGATGCAAAAATCATTGAAAGTGCAACAGGTATTGCCCGAACATAGAATGGAATATTTGTTTTATTATTTCATTGCTAGACATTCTCTATGATCATTTATTTCAATCAATCAATATATCATTAATCCATAAGTGAACATAATTACGTACAAGAATCATTGAATGGTACACTTCATTTTCATCCAGTGTAGTTGTCAGAATTCCCGGGCGGGCAATATGCCGGGCAATAGTCTTTTATTATCCTAAATTTGAGGGAGCTGTGAAATACATTATGGTATTTTTGGTCACATGGTACTGACTCGAACAATCAAATCACACAATTTCTAGCAATGATATAATAATCCATGAAGCCCGAAGGGCAAGTGGAATATCACCTTGTGAAAGTGCTACAGGTATTCACCGAAATAGAGTGAAATATTTGTTTTATTATATCACTGTCTAGCTAAACATCCCTAATATTATTAAGTCATTAAGTCTTCAAATATTTTTACGAATCTACTCGGTTCGTCTGCCATTTTGACTTACACTGAACTAAATTATTTACACTGAACGAAAACAAATTCTTTGAAAATTCCCGGGAGCGTGGGATATCGCTAGATATCTCACGGTTGTCTTATCTGATTAGCATTGCCATTGAATATCGCCAGATATCCCACGACATGTGACCCGGTTTTGACCAATCATACTGTCGCTAGCTAGATAGTGATGTAATAATTTACTTTATTATGCACCTCATTAAAATACACAAATCTGATTGGTTCTTAGTTGCTTGTAATTTGGCAATACTCTGCTCTTTTCTGAAAACTGCCGGATATTTTTCTAATATCTGACCCTTTCGAGAAAAGGGGTCGGATATTTTTTTCAATGTTTTTGCAACATTCCCACTTCAGAGTTTTATTTCTTAATAACTGGAGTACTACTTAAAGCTTACATCTGAAATTGACGGAAAATAGAAGAAAAAATGCAGTTAATCAATCACAATTACCCTTATCATTCAAAAGTTACATATAATTCTGCAAGAACGTCTCGAATAAATAAACATTAAATTCCCGGGGCAAATATTTTCGTCCAGTGTAGCGAATAAACTGGCCGGAAGTCGTCTGAGTTTTGAAAGAAAAAATAAATAAATGTCAAAATAATGTCAACTAAACAACAGTTTAAGCCTGTAAATGAGGTAAGTAAGTAAGTACTCCACTTAACTTTGATTGGGAGGTGCATAATGAAACAAATGCCGCCTCGCCCAATATTTTTTCTCGAATAGGTATTCTGCCATATCCAGCTCCTGATCATCCAGTATTTGTTTAATATTGCCCTAAGAAATTACGTTATTGCACTATTGATGTTAATGATGATTACATATACAAAGTAAATCTTCAGAATTGTCTTAAAAGTAAACACATTTCCATTAGTTTGACAATCCGGAGATCCCGTTTGGATCATTCAAACTTCTTGTTGCTACATGTATACTAATGGAGTGAAGTGTCTTGACGTTTACAAGAAGATAGAAAGTAAAATATTATCATGGGCTTTGAAATAATTATAAACAAATGATCAAATAATAAGTGGAATTGTGTTAATTAGTGTTTTCTAAGAAACAACAACCTTTACCAGGTCGATCAATAAGTTCTGAGAAAAATCTTATAAAATCAAGAGTTTTGTTTGAAATTTTTACAGAATATGTAAAGAGAATTCAGCAATTGGTGTAACAAATTTTATGCACTTTCCTCTTATTGAACCAAACATATGGTTACTATGGTACCTCATGTTTTGGGTAGGCGGCGCAAATCATTTAGATGGCAGAAGTAAAGCGCATAAAATGTTATTAAGTCAATTTATAGATATGGTTCTGAGCTGCTTCCTGCAAATAGTCTTAAAGTCCTTGTAAACTGTTTGGGTCGATGGCTTTTGATACACTTCTGGCGTTGAACCCTTTGGTGAAACAGGCGTCTGAATCCACAAGGAAAACGTTTCCTCGGGGCATATGCACAGCATTTTGTAGGTAATCATTACTGAACCACCACGACAATGCCCCGCCCCATAAATCTGCTCTTATCAAAATCACCAATGACTAGGGATAGCTAAGATTCAGATATGCGAACTTTACAGACCTCAACAATGGTGTGAAAAATGCCCTGAAGAAACGTTTTCCTGGATTCAGACGCTCGTTCTACCAATGGGTTCAACGCCAGGAGAAGTGCATCAAAAACCATGGAAAATTTAGCATCTTAATTGAACCTAAACATTTTACTAGGACTATAAGACCAACCTTTATGCAGGCAGAAAGCAGCTCAGAACTATATTTATAAATGAACATTTTATGCGCTTTACTTGTACCATTTAAATTATTTGCCCGCCCACCCAAAACATGAGTCACCATAAGTAACCATATTTTTAGTCCAATAAGAGGAAAGTGCATAAAACGTGTTGCACTATAATTGCTGCATTCATTTTACATATTCTATGAAAATTTAAAATAAATAATCCGAAAATCTTGATTTAAGAGGAATTTTCTCAGAACTTATTGATTGATCTGGTACTCACAAACATAAACATAATAGCAATATTTTGATGTCATATAATGTACAACTTTTATTCTTATATAAATCAATTTATTTAAATTAATACAGTATACTGTGACCATATCACAATTGTAGCTTTTCGCTGTGTGTAGACTAGTTGAATATACAATGCTTTAAAATTACAATTAAATAACCCGAACCTAGACGAGTGCTCATTGAAAAATAATTACACTTTTCAATATTTTAGAATGCGATGTACACTCCCATCCAAAACGTTGGCAACCGAAAATCCCCATTCGGATTACGACTTCCGGTGGCCAAACATATGGAGGGGGTGAATTGGAAAATAATAGCAGAAGGAAAGAAATGCGACCACCAGTTGCTAGCAAAGAAATCATACTACGGTATCCAGGAAGCTTGAATAAATACCCACCACGGCCATACACATTCCTACAAAAGTTTGGCAAACGGAATTCCCAGCAACGTTTTAGAGCCTGTTTATGTTTGACAACATCAAGAAATCCATCTCATTTGTTATAAGGGTTCAACCTTTTGTAAAGTGGACCCTCAATTGCCAGACTTATGGAGGGGGTGTACAAACATACATTGTCCCTGTAGTGTTTCGCTGAACTCAAGACATGACATTTAGCTGTATAAGAGGCAGACTAGGTAAACATAATCACAAAAGAGGAAACACAGATGTAGCCTTGCATTAAATC